TATGTATAACATACTACACATTTCTGTTGTTCATACAGTTGCTCACATGCAGTTGTGATTACCAACTTTGTATTTATTTGTATCACATCACTAAGTTTGTAATAACTGGATCCCTGGGCATTAAATATGAAATAATTATTACTATGTCCAAAGCTCGTGGGTTCGAATCTCGGGGTTCGCAGCCCTGAGCTTGGGTATGACCGACTGATGACGGCTAGCAAACCAGAAATGGCCATCCAGGTCTTCTTTGTCTTTGTCCGTTCCACTTCGTCGTACAGTAGATGGTCTTATTCATCCAATGTTAAGATCAACATTTCAGAGGGTAGTCTAACACACACTTGGGGTTGTCAATCTAGTTGAACTGAAGTAATTTGAGGCGCAAAAGGCTGTTTGTTAAAGAAGACCTTGCTTGAGATCAGTTTATTGAAGGAAGAAATTTGCAGAATTGAAAAAAGTTGAACGTTTGTTGATAACCAAGTAATTTCCCACCGATTTTAAACGCTATTGATCAAAACCCTATGGTTTTTGCGTGCTGTACTGTAAACGAACATTAATGTGCGCCAGAAGAGTTTTAAGCACACCTCTTCAGACAAAGAAACATTTTGTTTCCGTTCATAAAAATCACGTTAATGCAAGTATGAGAAATCGCATCGTTTTCGGGAAAGTAGGGGTGGGTTTGGTTTACAAAATTGTTTTCAAAACTTGTTACGTGTTAGGCCATAAAAACAGTAAATAACTTGTTCGGGAGTAGTTTATTTTATCACAGTGATAAATTTAGCTAAAAAGAGTTTTTTCGTGCTCTCCTTCTTTCAACACCATTGTGTCTAACCTTAGATAAGTTGTTTGTAATATAAGCATTAACTGAAATTCCAGGTTTTTGGTGAAAATTAATTATTTTTATTTTGGTCAAGAGTAGTTTATAAACTAATCTATGCCTTCTTTTAAGGAACGGTTGTTTGCCAATAGAAGTGAATATGCGAGTTCCAGGAAGCTGTTCAGAAGAAGGAAATGCGAGCAGTTGACTATTGTACCATTACCTATGATTAAGGATTCCCGACGGAATCTAAAACGTCAGGAAA